GAGGGGGGGAGGGGGGGGGCCTGGGACTCTCTTATCTGATCTCTCCCCCGCCTCCAGACTGCTCCCCCTCCCGGAGAGCCGCACTGCCGGCGGACACCCGTCGCCACGCCGTGTCCCAGCGCGGTCACGTCGCCGTCCCGCGGCGGGGGAGCGGAGCGGTCATTCTCACGCGTGAACGTCTCCGCTGATAAACGCACCGCACGTCGGAAACAGCGGGTGTAGGTGCGGGACGATCCAGAAATGACTCTGAACTCCCCAGCCAGCGGCCCAGCCCTGACTGCGCTCAACAAGCTCTCAAGAAAAGGCCACGTCCGAGGGCGCTCTGGGACCGCATTAGCCTAATTGCTTCCTCAGAAGCGAAGCGCACCCCCGCCCAGCTGGAGGTTTTTCCCAGGCATGGGAGCGATGGGAGATTACCCCTCCTGAACGCTGGGTGAAGTCTGGCTGTCGTTTTTAAGCAGCCCAGCTTTCCCGAGGTGACTCAAGCTTGGGACCTCTGGGGCCCCGATGTCTGGGAAGATGGTACATGAGGCCCATCTCAAACACAAGCGCCCGATAATGTGCTCAGCTCCGCACCCCGAATCCCTCTGCCTCTTAGTCAGCTGCAAACAGTCCTCAAAAAGGCCATTTCTCTTGTTCTGTAAGGCCCTTCTTAAACCAGCTCCTACCCCCTGAAGTCGTCACTGTTCATTCCTTTGGGGGTGTGACTTTAGTTCTTGGTTGTTTTTTAAGTATGAATCTCACTGACAGATAAAGAGGGAGTTGAGTACTCAAGAAAATATTACTGAAATATCAAATCATAGATTTTATAGGATCATCTTAGTGGTTTAATGAGACAGACAGGAATTTGCTTCCTTGTGGAGGGGTGTGCAAATGATATTATTCACCTGTTGTAAATCTTTATCAGTATTACTGTCAGCCTGTAATTAGTGCGATGTTATAACAGAAGGTGATGTTTATGAAATGTTACGTGCAGATACTTTACAGCTGCTTTAAAAGCGTTTAGTTTCCTAGCCTGCAGCTATTTGTTTTAGAAATCAATAGAAACTGCTGATGTCCTTAGATTATATCAGTGAGCCATGAATGTGCCTATTGTAACTATTAATTAAAGATATACTTTTATCATCAGCACCTAGTACAACAGAGAACATGGAGACCACCAGCGCGAAGAATGAGGAAAAGCCGAACTTGAGAAGAGAGAAGGTATTCCAAAAAAAACGGGAAAAATAACATCTCCGTGCGCATTACACATTTTAATGAAACCTCAAAACAGTGCCTCTGGGTTACGAGTGGCAACACGTATTGGTTTATAAACGAAAAAAAAAAACTTCACAGATTTAATTAGAAATAAACGATTTTTTACATATTATCTGACGTAGCCTTTACGCGTTTCCCAATTTTGCAATGTTAACATACAATGTAGCCTGCATCTCTCTTAACTAACAAAATGCAAAATATAATTAAACTGGCGCGCGTCGAATTAGCCGCAATGTCACGATGAAATTCAGCCCCAGTTTATTGTACTGGATCATCTTTATTCAACCGTTTTCTGAGGGAGCTGAAAAGATGCAATCGATTTGATTAAATTATTATTGAAGTTGATTTGTTTCTTATTGACGGACTGATACATCCTTCAATCTCCAATGTTTGATAGTTCCTATTGGAATTCCGCGTCTATTAAAAGCTTCCTTGAAGTAATTCATTTCAGTTCGATTTCTATTGATACTCGATACGTTCCCCGCAGTCCACAGATTTCAAAACCAGGATGAAACCCACCGCCTACTCCGCACTTGGATGCAATATTTCTTATGCGCTCTTGGCCAAATGTAATAACGTGGACAGAAGACTAAAAAGCGGAAGAACTAGAGTGCTTTAAACATGCCCATGAACTCTTCTGTTCTGACTGCAGCCGAACCCTGCTGATTCCCCCTCGCCGGTACTCAAGGGTGGCCGGGCTGCAGCACCCGTCCTCGCAGCCCAGAGCGGCGCGCTGAGCCGCTGTTGCACGTCAACACGCAACAGCCCCGATTTGCACCATTTACTTAAAAAGGAAAAAAAAAACATCCCAGCGATCTTGAAATAGTTGCAGTCCCCGCCGTGCCAGGACTCACTGGCTTGTTCCGTTAATCTATCTGCGAGATCAAAGGCCACACAGAGAGACCGCAGCCCTGGGCTGTTTTCCTGGTCTTCACTGCCTGACAGTAGTCCCGCACAACTCTCTGTTCTGGGTCCCTTTGAACACACATCCCTCTCCCTTTTAGTCACGGAAATACAATTTATGCCTATTATACAGCATTATAGATTAGATCTGAGGAACTCGCATTGTTGGCTGCAACTTCTGTAGTTAAGAGGAAACAAAAATAATGACAAAAAATCAACGAGTCGGTTTACCCGGCACGGCAGCGGGGACAGACCTGCGAGCGCCGGGTTCAGACTGTTTATTAATGTTGGGGCTTGTTTATTTGCTCGTGTTGGGTTGTTTAGGTAAATGCGCCCCCCCCCCACACACACACACAAAAAGGGGGTGAGAGGAACACGCACGAGAGTAAAAACGCCAGACCCCGAGCTGGGACCACCCAGACCGAGAGGGAGGGAGAGCGCGTCTGTAGCTACTGGTCGATCACGCCCCGGGTCCAGAGGATCCAGCCTCCCTCAGCCCGGCGACAGGGGACCGAGCGCAGCGCAGCGCAGAGCAGCGGAGGCACCGCGCAGCCGGCGCGCCAGCAGGCCAGCTCACTCCGTGGGACAGGGGCCCCACGCCACGGCTGTCCGCGCCGCCCGTGGGACCGAGGCGCAGCCGGGGCGCAAGAGCGGAGGCGGCCCGACCATGTTCGACAACTCGCAGTACCCCTACAACTGCTTTAACTACGACGGAGACGGGTACCCCGCCTGCGCCTCGGACGACGAGAAGAAGATGTGCCGACCCGCGTACAGGTGAGCCGGGGTCCCGGCAGCTCGGACCCGTGCTTCAGCGCCGCTCCTGAGGTTTCAGCTATGCTGGGAGAAGTTGCCATGGACATCATCTAGTTTTAAATGATCAGGTGTAAACTTTTTAAATGAAAAGTTCAAGTGCATTTAACGGCAGAAATCGGCTGTTTTTTAGAACGAAGTTGAAATGTTTTATTGAACCAATCTTTACACACCGCAATACTTCTTTCTACGAAACGCTCCCGCCTGCGTACTTTATCTGTGTATAATTCATACACTGATAACCACCGATTACAACATTCGTATTTAATTGTTACAATTTATATAAATATCGTATGCAAATATTACTGGTTGTATTTTTTTAAGTGTACTTTAAAATCTGAAAATCTATTTAGAGATTTAAAGACCTACTGTAGCTAAATATGAAAACATCCTCAAATACAAATATGATCAAATGTACAACCTCAGAAGTGTAAAAAAAATCTTTGTAATTTGGTCATGATCTTAACGTTTTATAGAAAAGAAAATGACAGAGGTTTAAATGTGCAAATCCATATCAAAGGTTTCTAAACCGACACAAGTAATGTAATGTACAATAACGAGGTGTGTTTTTCAGGGATTGCTCCTTTTTCCATTGGGGTTCTGAATGTATCTCAAGTATAACAATTTTACCTTGTTGAAACAGGAACCTCTTCTTTTAAAGTAGGATTTTCCTGACGAGTTTTTCTTCAATTAGGGTTTATTTTGAGCGTTACTATGACAATACGTGAAGACAGTTGTTTTAAATTTGGGCTGTTTTGTTTCGGTTTTGTTCAGTTTTTCAGCACTGGAACTTTTCCAGTTACTGTAAAGACGAGCAGCCCAGCCACTCACTGAGGTACACTATCCAATTATTTTAAACCTTTTTCTTTTCTAGATACTCTGACACAGGGGGATGCTGTAGTGTTCCTTTATTCTGGTATTACCGTGTACTTGTTCTGAATTGTCTTTCACTGTGAGACAGTCGCTGCAGGACAAGAAACATGTCCTGTTATTTGCCGATATCAGTGTTGGCAGTGTACCCACTGCAGACTCTGCTGTCACCGTAACGGCTTGTCGCGCTGGCTCTCTTGTTCTCGCCCAGCTACATCGCTCTGATTGCAATGGCCATCCAGCAAAGCCCAGAGAACAAGGTGACCCTGTCGGGGATCTACGAGTTCATCATGAAGAAATTCCCCTACTATCGGTCCAATCAGAGGGCGTGGCAGAACTCGATCCGGCACAACCTGTCCCTCAACAGCTGCTTTGTGAAGGTACAGTGGCACACACCGACTGCGGCACTCCTACCCTGGACGGTGAACCTACTGCAATTCCAGGGAGAAAGGAAGTGAGACCTCGGATGTCACTTTAAGAATGAATTAAATCAATGTGTGTGATTATTCAGAATTCGCAAAAGGTCTGTATTCATGATGATTCTCTCGAACTTGAGAAAATTGCTGCGGCCTTTATTTTTAATGTACAATTTGATTTGATGACGTGGAACTATAAATTGAAAGGAAAGCACATGATAACATCTGGTCACATCGTTTTGTTATCAAAACGAAAACAAATGAATCTAATCTTCTTTAGTGACTGGACTCAACATTTTGCAGGCCTAAGAGCCCGTAACTTGTAATTAAGGAAAGCAGTGGGTTAACCTTAAAAACAGGCACATTCACACAATATGAGCAACAGCTGAAATTAATGCATAAATGAAGGCAGATGGCAAAAATCACCCGATTCACATTGACTATAAACAGCTACAGATCCATGCAAAGATAAGCAGTACAGCAGAAAGCTTCTCTTGCTTTCTCAGTGACGTGCAAAAGCCACAGAAAGCTCTGTGCCTCAGAGCTCTGGGCACAGCGTGACTGCATTCGTGAACGTGTCCTGCCATCCTTCTGTGGTTCATCTGCAGCCATATTAAACTTCTTACCACATGGCCTCCGTGGATTACTCTCAGGATACAACAGGCAGCCGCCCTGATGTCTGGGTGATTAATTTGACTGAGTCACTCTCCTCCCCCTTCCTCCCTTCGAAGACGAAGCAGCTTCTTTTAGGTTTTTATTTAGGAAAACACACATAGAGTACAGGTACATACTGTCTATATTTCCCAATTTATGCTGCAGGCATCTCACAGCACAGGAACACTGCCAGAGCACAGACAACAGCACACAGTACAAACCCGCTGACAGAACCGCAGCCCGCGGATCTAGATCCCCTCGACGATTATTTAAGCCTTTGCGGCCGAGACAGTTTCAGGCAGCTGGACGATACCTGCCTGCGATCGGTTTAAAGAAAATGAGAAGAAAAAAAGATAAAAAGCTGTGTTTCTTCCCCCCATGTTGCGGCCGCAGGTGCCCAGAACGGAGGGCAACGAGAAGGGCAAAGGGAACTACTGGACCTTCGCGACGGGGTGCGAGTCCATGCTGGACCTGTTCGAGAACGGCAACTACCGGCGGCGGCGCCGGAGGCGGAACATGAGGGTGGGCTTCAGGGAGCCGGCCGAGCCGGGCGAGCGGCCCCCCTCCCCCGAGAGCCCCGCGGGGGCCTTCCTGCCCCCGGCCTGCCCGCCGGACTCCGACCGCTTCTGTGCGGGCGACCCCGGCCGCCGGCGCACCCCGTTAAACCCCCCTGTTGGGAAACCGGAGCCCGAGATCAAGTTCAGCATCGATTACATCCTCTCGGCCCCCGATCCGCTGCCCGGCCTGAGGCCTCCGGGCCCCGGGGCCACGGGCAAAGCACACCTGCTGGAGCCGCAGCACATCAACCTGCACTTCTGGACCATGTGACGCCCGCAGCGCCCGCGCCCGCTCCAGCGGGCCGGCAGAGGGGCAGGGCACCACCACAGGCGCGGCTCGCCGGTCACACAGATGATGGCACGCTGCAAAGACTTCGGCCACTAATAAGAAACTCTCGTAACGCGCGGCAGGATCCGACCTTGAATCTGATGAAAAGCCGTTAATCAGCTTCTCTGCACAAAAGCCAGATGAATTGGATGCGCCTGCCCTGTCCTGCCCTTTGCGTCTTTCAGATTCAGCCACCTGGGCTGAGGCCAAGAAAAGAAATAGCACAGCCCAGATAAAGACACGTCCGTGATCAAAGCGATCTTACAGGACCGATATGTGCTCTATTAGAAGCTTCAGAAACCAGATTCCTGAAAGCAGAGCCGAGCTGTGACAGTCAAGGACTGCTAGCATATCAAACCCCCCTCACTGAGACAAGGCAGCTATTGAGCACGAAAAGAAGAAACGGAATCCTGTTCCTTCCAAGCCGCTTCCCGAAGTCCAGGGCTGAGGAGAGCTTCGGCATGCTACCACGGTCCGAGCACAGCGGAGCACACGAAAGGTCAGGCAAGGCACTGGGCACATGCTTAGGTGATCTTCTGTCCGCCAGTGTAATTCACCTTCACAACGCCGCCTGCCAGAATTGCGCAGCGCAGGCAATACAGGACACTGGGAAGTTCGGAAACCCGTACAAAACGCATCGCAGAGCGCAGGAGGTACAACCACCGAGAGGGGACAGCTTCCCCGGCAGAGCTGGCCAGTCAAGCTCAGTGGACAGAGCTGCTGGAACAGGCAGGCCTAACTGCTAACGCCCCGAGCAGCAGGAGGCGTCTGCTCTGCTGCGACTCTGCAAGCCCTCTGGCCTGAGCACCGCGCCACGCGGACTTCAACTGGGTCGGACTGCAACGGAGTTCTGGCACAGAAGATCGATGCCAGTTCACACCTAAGGTCCCGCAACCTTTTAATTTCCACCTGCCCATTCCAGGCCTTGAGCAGAGCATGCAGGGTTAAAAAATGAAACAGCCCCAGGAATGTGTTCAATGCTGTTGGCTGGACGTTTCTACTGCCCTGGTTTCTGGATTCTACACTGCAGCCACTGCCAAGATCTTAGTTCTGGCAGCACATGGCAAAAGGCAAACAGCTCCTTTGCACCAGTATGGAATTCCATAAACTCTGTAAAAAATAACGGACTAAGATCCTGCATAAAGGAGAGCAGGTATGATCGTAATCTTTTGTGGCATTAATTTAGGGTAAATGTCATTAAAAACAGTAAAGAAAAATAAAGTACTGCAATTAAATTGAGTTCTGTTGTGATGTACAATGTAGGAAAAAGGTAGCAATAGCTTGCAGGTTTCTAAATTCAGAATATATAGAATATATCAAACTGTAAAACTGTAGGCTAAACCCAAGTCACAATGATGTTATACATAAAAAACTAGAAAGGTTGACAGAATAAGCAGACGTGTTGATGGTACAAGAGCTGAAGGTCAGCCTTCACTAGCAGTCTTAATTCTGCTGGCCCCTTGTATCAAAGTCAACTGGCCGTGTGAAGCAGCGCTGATTTTGTGCCTTTTTGACTTCAGAAATGCCCACCCTGCATACTTGTACTTGAGAAATGTCCACGGCCTCTGTGCTGTTTCAGGACAACAGGCTCTGGGGTCTAGCAGACACAGAGAATAACACAGCTGCAACAAAACACCTAGCAGAAAAAGGATCAGACCCAAACACACACTCAGCTCATCAACAGAGCATGATGCAGACAAGTCAGCAACCGTTTGACATTTTTGCAAGAGCACTGATGTGCTGTAGGAAAACTGGGTACTTTTGCTATTTTGGGGATCCTTATTTTAATATAGCAGTGTTCTTTTTCAATGTCACAGCGCAGCACACTCGAATGATTAATGTTCCCTTGTCACTGCCTGATACGCTTATTACAATGAGTTTAAAAAGCGTATAACAGAACAAGCCAGTATATTCCCTGCCTAGATAACAGAATACTTCAATAGTCCAAAACATCAGACATTCTTATTGCCCAGCTAAGGTTTGTCTAGTGCAGACACACGTCACTGTCAGCAAAAAAAACACACAATGTATGATAAAACACATATTAACTCTAAACACGGTATGTGACCTGTCACCTGGAGTTGCTTGAGTCTTGCTTCCTGAGGAGGCCTAAGCTCCAAGAAAGTGTTTTATTCCCCCAAAGAATTACTTTCGCCTGTAATTGTCTTTACACATGAACATGGAAATAAATGCCCGTGTTCGTCTTGTTTTCAGCAATTAACGTATTGTCAGATCAAATCTGTCCAACCTTTCTGAAAACCTGCTAATCCTTTGCCTGACCTTTTCAATTCAACTGAAATTGGAACATCCAAAAGTTAATCCAAACAGTCTATTTAAATACATTTTATTCATAAAGGAGCAAGTTAAGAAGGGGGTCTGTTAACATTTATTTCCCTTACAAGGGATATCAATCATTGCTGTTTTTCCACCAGCAAAGGGACATTTTTCAATTTAACCTTTATATTATACTGTGACTACATCAGGAAGGTTTCAACGCACTTAACATGAGTGGCATTTAATATACCACAACACTTGCAAGGTGAGACTCAAGACGTGACCTTATTCAAATGTTGGAGCCATTACAATGCCATTCCTAATGCAATTATAATTAAATACTTTATGCCTTCTTGCAAATCCTCTGATCAATCGTTGATATTAACATTAATATCGCATTGCCCCCAAGCAAATGTCTACCACTAAAACTGTTATGGATCAGCAGGTTTCCATTAACAAAGCTGTTGATGTAGTGCCATGTGCTGTGGATATATTTAGGTAAATTAACCTAACAGTGATGGAAGGCTAGATGTATTACAACACCAAGATATAAACTGATCTCCACCCGCACAATAAATGATGGCTTAAATGTTCTTCGGGTAAGACAAAAACCTTGATGTGTCTGATTACATGCGACAAAACCAAAAACTTGATACTGATGTTTCATGTGTTGTAAATGGGCTCAAACATCTGGAATAATTTGAACAGATTTTAAATTTTTGTTTATTCGATGACATGAGAAACTTGGCTGCTTACAGAACAGTAGTCTGAAATGATTTTACAAAAAGCTGGCCATGTCACCCCATCTACACCCTGTAATACAGCTAATTTCATTTTTTAAAACTACATGCTCAAAGCTCCTGGATGGAATTTCCAAGCTCAAGGCAAATAGTGCAAAAATTGCATGGTAAAATTGGGAACTCAATGAAGTGCAACTTTAATAACACCTAAACCACAAACACAAATAGGTAATTTCATTTCAAAGGCATTTATTTTTATTTTCCTAATTTGTTTTTGTAAATGCTTTGCCTGCCTTTGAGAAAAAACGCTCCAGAGTAATGAAATCTTAATTTAAATACAGTGTTCGTGTTTACCAATTAGACAGGCTGTGTTATTTTACAGATTTTGATTAACAATCACCTTTTTCTGTACATTTACATACATTAATAGCCTCTAGAATTGAACACAGCTTGATGGATATTGATACAGTGCCCAGATAAGCCTGCAATCTAGCAGAGATTATTACCGGCAACAGCCAGAGGCCACAGTGACGGCATCGTCGCCAGAAGGACGGTACGGGGCTCAGGACACTTGAGCAACTGCAAGACGCTCCGCGAAAGCCGAGCAAAATTGGAGTTTTATCTCAAACGAGAAAAATAACTTTGGTTAACTTTGCTTCACGGGCGGAGGACTGGCTAAGGATCCGCGTCTATGGCCGGTTCAAACCCCGCGGCCGGCAGAGGAATCCTACTCCATTGGGTCCCCGAGCAAGACCCTTCACCCCAGCTGCTCCAGGGGTGCTGTACAATGGCTGACCCTGCACTCTGACCCCCAGCTTCTCTCCCTGTCTGTGTGTCTCATGGAGAGCAAGCCGGGGTCTGCGAAAAGATGAATTTCTAATACAAGAAACTGTATATGGCCAATAAAGTGATCTGATCTTATCTTAACGCCAGGTGCTTATTACTGTACAACACTGAAGAGACCGGGCAGTTCAGCGCAATGTGTCTGCGGGCTGGTGGCTCGGCCGGGCGACAGTCCTGAGCTGCTGCAGTCAGCACGGCTGTGAGGAGCCCTGCCAGCAGCCTCCTGGACCGGAACCTGCTGCCTCAGCCTCTGTCACTCAGGCTTCACTTCCCCCGTGCCAGAAGTCCACAAGCACACACTGCCTGGGCTGCTCGGGAGTTGGCTTTCTCTCTGACATTTCACACCTCTGGTCATTTTTCCTTTTAAGCCATTTTTTTGCAACATTTTAGGGGCAGATGTAATACAAGTAGCCCAGCTGGTGCAGCTCACTCACTGCTGTCTCACAGCGGCGGGGCGCCTGTGACCCGTCCAGCGGTCAGTGGGAGACGCGGCCTGGCCACTAGCCTCGCAGGACCGTCACCAGGACAGGATGACAAAACCAAAGAAGCTCGCAAACCAGCAGGGCAGATTTACAGACCCCCTTCTTGCGCTGGACAGGCTGCTGGCGTCTTCCTGCACCCTTCACCAAACAATATTTGCAAACAGAGACCTGCATCTTTTCAGAAATGTGCTGAACTGCTTGGTGGTTTGAAAAACAGAACAGCTCCTTTCCTCACATTACTTGCTGTGAGCGGTACAAAAGAAACTGGGTCTAGCCGCCACCCAGCCCCCTGGAGGTACTGCAAGAAGACAAGTGAAGCGAGGAGCGAAAGGAACCCACGGACACTCAGTAAAAGGAAGTGCATGTAGAGCTGCAAGCAAGTGGTTGGGCTGTGCACAAAGAGTTGCGGATGACAGGAGCAAACCAGCCTACAGTATTCCTGGAAGTCCTTATAAGAACAGCTCAATGAGATTCTTGAACCAATAAGCTCAAAATACCCTCCTCTTGTCTTTAAGATTTCTTACGTTCTCATGGCCTTCCCAGGTTCTGACCCATCTCCCCAGGGAGCAGAACCAGCCTCCTGCGTGGAGGTCCTGCTGGGGCAGCTGAGGCCCTGTGATGCTGGCTGACTCCAGCGCAAACCTGCAGCCAATCCCTTCAAACAAAGCACCTCCATTCCTGATGGATTCTGACTGAACGCACAGAAACCACATGAATGCCAGCTGGTGCCAGTGGTGGTGCTGGGGTCAGCATTTCTGCTCAGGTGTAGGCGTGTATGTTTGCACATGCTCATGACGTGTAAACACCAGATGAGCACATTGGCACTCAGAGGAAGAGATGAATATATTCAGGAGTCAACAGCTTGACATTCAGCCAGAAGTCACCTGAAGTGTTACCAGGCTAGTGGCTCCAGTTTTGATGGACAATTAGAGGTAACACAATAAGGACTGAAAATAGGATCTATTTCATTACATGTAGAGAGTGCTGGGTAGATACTCAGGACAGAAAAAAGACATGTAACTGACAAGCTTCCCTGACACGTCCAGTCTAGAAAAGATTCTCAGATCGAAGTCTTCTCCACATTCAATGGGCTTTAATGGCACCCTCTGAATTCGGAATCTCATGCTCTGACAATGTCTAAAATACTCCTCAGAAGTGTTTGCTATCCTGGGGTGAAATTAGAGCAGGGAGAAGGAAACGGCTGTTGCCTTTGCTGCCAGGCTCATGGTTTTCCCCTCATCCTGCGCTTTTGCGAGCAACTTGAGCGTCAGAGCGACCTGCCTCATTTCTTCCTAATCGTATATTGGCGAGTTTGTCAGAGCCGGTAGCCTGTGCACAAGAACAGAGCTAACCCTCTGCGTCTGATCACAGAGGGTGACTCCGACTGCAGCTGCAGTGAGGAAAATGGACATTTGAAAGGCTCAGGTAAGCAAGCAGGGCAGGCGGTAATATATCAGGCGGGCTGTGAAAGTTAATCCATAGATCAGGAGAGAAAATGTCAGAAGCTTCTGCACTGGACTCTTGCAGTCTTGGCATAAAGCTGTACGTGACCATCCGTGAGATGGCTGAGCTGAGCACATAAAATAGCTCTTTCATTTGAAGAAAAGAGGTTTACACAACACACACATGAGGTTTTGTCACCCCGAGCAGCCCTCCAGCTGTCTAATTTGGGAACAATCCCACTCCCTTCAATCCGCACGCCTGTCTGCACGTGTCGGCACGGAGAAATTGAACAAGAGTGGAGCTGATTTCCCCGACTGACTGGGGTGTAGAGGCACTGCTGCGTGCTGCACCACACACCAGAGGAAGCGACAGAGTGGCTGTGCGTGTCAGCCCCTCTCCGAGGGCAGCTGCTCACATGTGAGCACATGGTCCCAGATCGCCGGGGGGGCGGCCACCCCCGCTGGGCGAGCGAAACTCTCCCAAGCCGATCCCACAGCTGCCCGGGAAACTTCATGTCACTCTTCTTTCCAGAACACAAAAGCACATCTGGTAGAGTTACCTTTAGCATGCTTATTTTCCAACTTTCCATGAAAAAACTGATTTACCCTTCAGTACGGTCATTTTACCACAGGGTGCCACTGTAATCCCAGTTCACACTGGGACCGCAAACTCACTTCAGAAAAGCCGGACACCACAAACTGAATTTACCTCTTTTCTGCATCATCGGGTCTCGGTGTGTCTCGAACACGACGCATTAAAGAAGAAATAAATAAATAAAACTGATCACATGGGCTCACGCCAGACGTACATGATTGGCACCGACAACTGCAGCAAGTGAACTGATAAGCAGAAAGAGGAGATTTTCCACTGGTCAAGTTTGATGTGTAACCTGCTTCCGGATGCGTTCGTTCCTGGTCTAATTGGCATGATGTTTTTAAAACCTGCGTTCGGCTTGGTTTATCAGGAACCCCGTGGGAGCGCTAATGAACTCCCCGGTCTTTCATGGGTGCTGCCTCACAGACGAGAAAACGCAGCACAAGAGAACAGAAAACTAGCATGCCGTCGAATGCCTACAATTCATCTTCATCGTCACGGTGGCTTGCTGCTCTCCAGGCAAATAAATTATACAACATTTTACACTTTGCAGAGTCCTGGTGCAGCCAGCTAAACCATCACGCCTTGCACTGGTTCACATAAAACCGATAAGTACTCAGCCTCCGAGCTGGAACAGAGCCCTCTGGAAAACTGCACAAACACACTCAAACACTGACGCCCAGACCCATGCAATGACACTGTATAATAAATCACTGGGGTTCGGAATCAGTATGCCAATACGAGATCAAGGACTGGACATCTGAAACAGTCTCCTGAGCAGCCACATACCAGAGTGGTGGCACTATACAGTACTTGCAGCCTACGTAGCACATTCACTGTGCTGATCACTGTTCCTACTAGTTTTTAAACGGGTTTAAAGTCCCAGGGCGTTTCTCGATTACAGTAGGGATTTTACCCCAACGTCCTGGCTAAAGTTCCCCCTTGGCCTTTACCAATCATGGCCTCCTAGTAACTCCCATCTCTGAACTGGCTTCATCACTGTGCTCTGCTCCCCACTGAGAGCTGGTGTGTGGGGAGCCCACTGGTGCATCATCCAGGTGGGGCTGCACACTGGTGGGGGTGGTTTCCCTGTAAAGCACTTTGAGTGGAGTGTCCAGAAAAGCGATCTGTAAGTCTAAGGAGATATTATTAAGGTTTCGATGGCTCAGTTCACGGCGCGGCGAAGCAGGGGGGCAGTGAGGACCCCCGCTTCCCCGGAGCCAGGGCAAGGCGAGCTGCCGGAGCAGAGCCTGTGAGGGAAGGAGACATGCCGCTGCGCCCGTACGGCAGGCGGGGGCAGAGGGTGGAGGAGTCGGAACAAATCAAAGACTCGTCTTACCTGCAGGTCTGAGCGAACGCCGGCACTGCGCCTGGAGACTTGTACCGAACCACCACTGGAGGGACCTCCAGCCCCAGACATATCACACCACTCTGGAGCTCTGTCTCCGTCTGGGGCTGCAGTTTCTCTCTGCAGTCGAGCACAGTACTTTCACAGGGAAGTCCAGAGAGGCAGGATCCCAGGTCGTTCATTATCAGTCTGTATGAGAACTGTCTTCAATGTGCGTGATGAGACAAAAAATCATCATCTGCTGCAGCAGTCAGAACGCATGCGACACACTGCTCAGCTTTCAAACACACCGACAATGTTACAGTACAAGCAGTACGAAACAGGAAGCTGCCGTGTGGCTAATTGTTCAACAGGACAGGCAACTGTGCCCAAACACGCCGCTCTGTCAATTTGTAGTTAGCCCTCGTCGAGAGTGTACAGGCATTGCAGCAGAACGTTTTTTTAGTCGTATTTCAATATGACAACCTGCACTATTCTTTTTATTCATAAGTACAAAAAGGATATTTGAAGAAATAGGGGCCTCGGGTCTCAAATCGGTTGAATTCAGTAAATGTGAATGTCAGCGGGTCCTCAGTTCAGGGTTTTCACCACTAGGTGGCACCAGTGCAAACAACGAGCCAGTTCACCGCACACAAACAGCAAAACCAAACAACCAGGAGAAAAATCCCGGACAGCACTCAGCTAAGCTTCTACCTGATTCATTTTTGTCTTCTTCGCTTACGGTTTTACGTTTATAATTTTTTTTCGTTATCTGTCGATAGCATGTGCTCCTTGCTTGCAACCAACCACATGAGAAATATCGGTTACTGGGTCACCTCGATGACAGGACAGTGGCTTCATCATCACGAGCAACACTCCGTTTCAGTCTTCGGAGCTTAAAACGGGTTTTCTGACTGTAGGACATTAAGTGTGAATATATTCCAGCACTATGTACAATGCATCTAAGGACTCTGCAGTTAAGACAGAGTGAAACGGTTATTTCCTGTGTATCCTCCGCCTTCTCCTTCCCTTTTTCCCTC